TATAAATATTTAATGTGATATAAATAATTATGTAAATACTGAAAAAGTAATGGTTATTTATCACTATCTAGACCAATGCAATTCGGGAGCTTTCCCTACTGGGTTGCATGTATCTGATATCTTGAACTCACTTCTTATCGCGTTATGGATAATATTCGTGTGACAGAAGAAGAAATGTGCAGAATATGTGGAATGTAAAAATATATTTATGTAGATATGTACAAAAATTTACGTATGAAGCCGAGTATATGGCTAAGCTATGGTTTGTCACAGCAGTGGTGAGTTAAGAAACGAAAACAACAGAGAATTTGTATTTGCAAATATTTACATATGAAGCCGAAGATATGGCTAAGCTACGCTTTGTCACCGCAGTGGTGGGTGAACAAGTACGAAAAACCAGAGAGTTTGTTTTAATTACAATGCGTATGTATGTATGTGTGCGGGAATGCACAAGTGGATATAATAATACGTAAAGAGCCGCTCACCGCTGAGGAGAGGGGGCTTTGATTTACGTTCTCTTAGCTTGGTGAGTGCAGCAGAGAAAAGCGAGGTAGAAAGATATGAAAATAAGCTAGAGTGCGTTTGGTATGTGTGGACTGTATTGTCCGATGAGCAACAGCGACTCTCTTAGCTATTATAGGAATAGTAGCAGAAAATGCAACTTGTAACAATGCTTATATGTGCGAACGTATGTACATATGGTATATGGGGCAAAATGCACTTATGTTTTCGGCACTTTGTTAAGCCAAGTTCAACTAACTATGCGACCAACGGCAAAAATTGGTAAGCAGAGGAAAGTATATGATTTTAATGTGCTAATATTTTGTTCTTGCACAGTGGGACACAGTAGGCATATAAAACTGCAACGGAATTTTGTTTGGATTATGTATAAAATTTTGCATATATGTACATATATATATATATATATATATATATATATATATTTGGCGGTATGTGGAGCTATACCGCCTTCCGGAAAACGGAATTTTTCTACCAAAATTTTAATAGCGGCAAATTGCCGTTGTGGAATTTTTGGGCGGCAAGAAAATGTCCGCAATTTTAGTAAAACCGTTTTGGCGAGAAAAAATATGCCTTTTGTTAAATTATATATATATATATATATGTATGTATGTGTACACACGTATGTATGCCCGTTGGCAGTTTATTAGAAATAATATAACTTTTAAGAAAATAAAAGTTATGTTATTTAAATTTTTTTAAGGAAATTAAAAATTTGCCTACTTACTACTTTCCTTGATTTATGTATGTATAGGTATGTAAGTGAGCTCCTTTATGTTTTTTCGCCTGGTGTTGTTGTTGCCGCTGATACTGATGAAGTTGCAGATGATCGACCTTATGCTGGCCGACGGTTTGGCTAGGTGATGGCTGCTGATGACGCTTTGATAAAACCTTCGGTTGTTGTTGGGCTTCTTTGGGGCACAGCTTGTGGTAGTTCACTAAACTTTATTGATTGCCTTGTATGTATTTTGTATGGATTTTTTTCACCAAAATTTTTATTTTTCACAGTTATTGTTATTTTTGTATATGTTTGTATGTATACAAAAAAGGCAATTTTTTTTTTTTCGAAATGTATGTGTAGACTCAAGTAGCCCAACTTTTAACACACTACTTGCACTTGTATGCACTTTAGTTAATGATTTTTTTTTTTATTGTTTTTTCCACCTTTTGGCTGTTTTATATTAATTTTTTGCGGACGTGCGAGTAGGGTTTTTTTTTTGAGTTGTTATAAGATTTAAAAAGTTTTTCCTTAGGAGCTGGGCCACGGTTGGCTGCGAAGGACCATGAATAATCCACTGGTCGCCTTCGCACTCACCTCTTTACACACTTTATTTCCACTTAAAATAAATGCTTTGGTTTAAATTTTTAAATATATGATTTCCAAAGTTTAATTTTCTGTTTGTGTGGCTTAGTTTTTTACAATTTCAATCTTTACGGGTAAGCGTATATATGTATGTATATATACGATGTACGTAAACTAGTACTTATTAAAATGGTTTTAAAAATATTTGCAGTAACTTCCGTTGTTGAGTAAAAAAGGGGGGCGCGTGCGCGATGTCCGACGTTTGCTAGCTGAACTGCTTTGTGCTGATTTCGCACGACGATGGGGAGGCGGCCGTGCGCGCTCGGTAATTATTTTCGGAGTCGCTTCGACTCCACTGCCGCCAAAGGATGCGCGCACGGCCGCTGAATTCGATTTAAGCGGCGGCTTAGACACATACCAAATTCTAGATCAGCAGACATGTATGAAGAAAATTGAAATTTTTCACTTTTTCTGCTCGTTGTTGCGACAGGTATGAACGTTTATAGTACACAATGCAGACAGAACTTAATATTTGTATAGAAAAGTATAAACCCAACAAACATTTGGAGTCACAAACAAGTCAATTTTATTTTTTAAACTGATTCACATTATATCTTTACAGAAGACTGTAAGGATTAATCATTAAAATAATAAATTTTAATAGTTTTAATTTTTTATTAATACCTTTATGTAACTACATATATCATATATCGTCGCCTGAAATGCAAAACGACGTAACTAACTTCTTTGTTGAAATGCGAAAAGTCGTAACTGATAAAAAATTTTAAATTCACTTTGTGATTGATATGATGGATTTCATCGAATTACAACTCCCCACATCGTTTTATGAAAAAGATTATTAGACACGACTTTTTCCATTTCATTGACGATGTTTGTAACGACTTTTTCCATTTCAGGTGACGATATGTATAATAATGATACGAACACATACATACATCCCTATACATATGTTTGACAGAAACTTTCAGAAACTTTCGTTTACGTTGTGTGCGCGGTGGGCGGAGCGAGAAGGGGCACGGCTCCTCTTACACCTCAGTTTAGAGAGGTCATGAGCCGCCGTTTACAGAAATGCAAATTCCGACTGTCTTACAAAAATTGGAAAAAATCTAAACTTTCCCTTGTTTTGAGTAGAGTAGGCATTGACTTGAGCCTTTCCGTGTTGCCAGAGAAAAGGGGGCCCGCCCACGGTATATACCATTTCTTATATTTAAAATGTTCCTTTTGCGGAGGCGGTCTTCAGCCGCGCTTAGGGATTAAACCTTTACTAAATAGAATTCTCCTTTCTGTGTGGCCACAGAAGAGAAGCGGAACTACTTTCTGCGTATTGAAAAAAACGGGATTAGTATATTCACCAAAAAACCTACAAACATGACTCCATAACTAGCCGTATGTGAGGGCAATAAGAGTCTAGTATGAATAATTTGTACCTATAAATGCTTGCTGGGAAGACGTAGATCGGCATACCGAGATGTTCGTTCACTTCAACGATGACAACGAAATGATGTTTGAACAACGTGTCGCATAGGTGTATACTGAACTGACAAGCGACCAAGTATGCATACAAGTTTGATTGTGTATACATATTCTGCTTATGATAAAAACACGAAAATACTTTAAAGTAAGGAACAATTTATCTGCCCTGTAAGTAAAGGCAACTTTACTGCTTACATTAGAAAACGGCCCTAAACCGTATTATAAAGTAAATAAACTACGTTCCTCTTATTCGATATTTATTTAATATAAAATTTGCGCGGTGGACCGAAATGCAAGCGAACAGCAAAACAAATTTATTATAATAATAAATACAATTAAAAACGGGCTGTATAAAGAAAAATGGCCAATTTTGATTTTTCGTTAAATGAATTATTCGTTTATACGGGTTTTCTAGCCGATGTGAGAAATAAAAAACTGATTTGAAAACAAATTTGAGTCAATACACTTTTCGATTTCAACGCGCATTGAAATTTTGTTTATGCATCTAATTTGAACCACACCAAACTGAGTCACAGCGTTTTATGTGTCGGTATAAACAAGGTATTTGTAGCCCATTCAATTGTAGTGTAAGGAAGTGCAAGTTTCTAGTGGTTAAAAATTACCGTTGATTTTTTAGAATTTTTTTTTGTGGAGGGTGTTGCGCATCCATAAATATGACACATAATCAAAAAACAGCAACACTCTTCACAAAAAAAAATTCTAAAAAATCAACGGTAATTTTTAACGACTAGAAACTTGGACTTTCTTATACATAGATAGATAGGTAGATAGTTAGATATAGCACTGCGGCAGGTAGGTCTATTGTGACCTTAGCTCATCACAATACGTCGACCAGCCCCAGGTACTCTAAAAATTGTATAATAGATCCCTCGGGTAGTGAGTGTATGTGCTCCTCTCTAGGCCACAGGTGCCCTATGCTCCTATTTCTCCTGCGTGCAACGACCTCACACTCCGCAAGAAGGTGTAAAGGAGTTTGTCTTTGGCCTCATCGCAAAAGCGACACAAGTCGCAGGACCAGATTCCTAGTTTATATAGGTGCCCTGTAAGCCTGCCTCTAAGTGGCCCGTCAAAACCCCTGTCATTATTCGTAGTTTCTCCTTGGGGAGGTCCATCAGTAACCTATATCTTATCAGATTGTCTCCTCCTAGTATTCTTTTTGCCTGACGTAGACCCATGGTGTTACGCCAGTGCAGTTCGCTTAGTTTGGTATTTTCCTTTCTGAGCATTTCCTTTACGGTTTTGGGTCCCACTGCAAGGAAGGGCTCAGGTCCTATCGGGGTCGGGGCAGCGGCCATTCTGGCCAGATAGTCTGCTTCCTCATTACCTGCGACCCCCATGTGGCCTGGTACCCACATCAGTTTAATCTCATTAACCTCTGCCAGTGCTTTAAGCCTCTCTAAACACTCTAAAACCAAGGACTTATTCTCGAATGCTGAGAGAGCCATAAGTGCCGCCTGACTATCGCTTAATATAAGTACCCTTTCGTTCCTATAATTCCTGCGAATGTTAACCTCGGCACATTCCTCATTTCTCTTTCCTCCTATCATGAATAAAAATTTCCTGAGGATTTTTCCTCTTTTGCCTTTCCTCCTATTCTAAACGATTTTCGAAAAAGGGAAAATGTATTTCGCGAAAAAAGTAGGTATTAATAATAATAATAACAATAGATTGGTGCTTACACATATGTTAGTGTTTGGCCGAGCTTCTCCTCCGTTTTTGTGCGTGCGCCTTGATGTTGTCACACAAAGCGGAGGGACCTACAGTTTTACGCCGACTCCGAACGGCGATTGTATTTTTATGAGAAGCTGTTTTTAATGGCAGAAATACACTCGGAGGTTTGCCATTGCCTGCGGAGGGACGACCGCTGTTAAGAAAAAACCCTTTTTTCTATATTTTTTGCGATGTTGCTTTGACCAGGGACTGAACCCAGGCGTTGCGGAGTGGAAGCTAATCACAATTTAAAGAAAATTTGGTGTAATAAAACGTTTAATCCTTTCATTCCAAACAACAGATGAAAAGCTAGGCCGGACATTGCACGTGGCTTCCATAAGGGCAATAGAGACGAAGTTTCCCGGTTGTGGCGGAACGCTGAAGTAGAACTAAGCTCCGCAGGTCCACCCACAAAAAATACGACTGAGTGGAAAAAGGTTTTTAAAAGTGATTAAATAAGTAGTTTTCGTTTTAAGTTGTCGTTTTTTTTACTTTTTATAGGTGGACCGACTAAAAGAAAATATGTGCGTCAAAAGGCGGCGCAAAATTTAAAAGCCAGCAAAGGCACGGGTGGTGGCCCAAACACCCAAAAGAAACTTTCTCCCAATGAGGAAGCTATATATGTAGGCTAACCGAGTGTTAGTTTAAATTAAAAAAACCCGATAGACTTGCGTTTTAATTATTTAACACACGTAGGCAGTTTGGCGACTGTTCAGGTTGGTGGTTGTCGAGCGAGTAAATTCGGTCCGTTATTATCGTTTCTTAGTTTGTCTTCTGTTTCGTTGGCAGTCAGCGTTGCAATGACCAGTATCGTTTTGGGTTGCTGTCCTGTTACTGTCCCACATATATAAACTCATTGGGATGAAGGAAAGTGTTGAAGGCGTCTACTTTTGGATTGCCACCTTCAAGTGTGTCTAGGATCATTGAAGAACCTGAGCGTGACGAGTCTGACTTTATAGAATATTTAGAGGAAGTGGAAATAGAGATACGTGAGTCTGAAATAAGTCCACTTGTTACAGTCGACGAACCATCGCCTCCGCCACCGCCAGTAAATGTAGCTCCAGAAAACAGATCTACTGTAAAAAAGCCGAAAGCATCCTCCGACCTTCTTGAAGCTAAACTAAAGACTCAGCAAGCTTTATTAGAAGCAGTTACGAGTTTAACCGAACATCATGAAGAGCAGAGAAGGCACTTCGAAGAAACATCTAAACTTCCTGAAGATGAAAATGTGAAGTATTTGGTTTAATTATTATTTTTATACAAATTTCTAGTTTTTTGAACGCTTATATGTATAACTTCTTTTAATTATTATTTAGTACCAGATTGACCGAGCTTTGACCGGAGTGCATATACTTTTTAAAGTTTTCAAGATTCTGATAGCTTTAAAAAATATTTTGAAATAAAAAAAAATGGATTTCGATATCAATTAAGTAAATCTCTTACTCCAAAATTTAGGTGCCAACCCTATTGCGAAATACGCTGGAATGAATGGTACATATCTTGAGCGTATATGTACTGTGCATACTTAAAAAAATGTTGATTGAAATTAACAAAATAAAAATTTGTATTACATAGAAGCGTGGCAACCCTGATGGAAAATATTTTCTGACGAAAGTTCTCAACAATACCTTTCTTTTGATATGCATATTGCGATGTTTTAGATAAATTGTGTAGAATCGAAAATAAGTGGCAACCTTATGCTAATATCTTAAGGGTAACATTTTGTATTTAGGGAAAGCATTGTTTAAGAACCTTTTCTTGGTACCCATGAGTATTAATATTTTACCTTTTTTTCTAAAAAAAAATTTAATGAATGTGCGATTCAAAATAGGTGGCAACCCTATTAAAATAGTTTGTAATTAGGGATCTTTGAAATACCTTCCAATTGATACCCATATTACGATGTTTTAATTGATTTGTAACTAATTTTGAACAGGTGGCAACCTTATAGAGTCTTCTTGGAGATAGTGCCTATTCAGATAACCTTAAAATCCAAAATTTTATCTGTGTAAAAAATTTCATCGAAATCGTTCCCGAGAACGCTATGGATATATATATATATACAAGAGTTGCTCGTTTAATGTAATAAGATTTAGCTCACAAGTGCCTTTTCTACTCTTCATGATGTTCTGCTAAACTCGTTACTGCTAGAGTAATTGTTTTTTTATTAAGCAAGCCTTAATATTTAGTTCAGCTTCCGGAACGTCGGAGGATGCTTTCAGCTTCTTTCTAGTAGGTCTCCTATCTTTGATTCCTCGCTTAGCGATACCTTTTTGTAGCACCGGTCAAAAAATTGTAACTTACAAAGATTGCGGCAACTCGAATGGATTTATGGCATCACGCAATTTTCGTCGTTCGACTCTGCGCTATCAACCGTTTTTGCTCTTCCTCTGCTACTAAGCGAAACGCGATTGAATGCATTGTTTTAGTTATTTTTTTGTTGCAAATGTCGATGAGCGCTTCCAAAACTGAACGTTGTCCTACAAACGATTAACCTTTAATTTAAACAAATATTTAAATTTCCGGAGCACTAGCTTATTAATAATGTGGCTTCCAAAATTCACAGTGGCAACTGAACATAGCAAAGGGTACCCTTATGATATCGAAATAAAAAGCTTTGAACTTACCCATGTAGTCAAAAGTTTGAACCACAATTTAAAATAAAGAATTGAAATTTTCGCGCACTAATTTATTAATAGCTTCAATTGCAAATTCACTTGTAATGTGTAAAACACGCAAATTAAATGGCGGGAGTTGAGCTGTCAAAAACTGTCACACAGCTCTTCGAAAGTTCGAAGTTTCTGCTCCGAAATTTTCCGGGAAAATGCTGCTCCCTTGCAGTTTAGAATAGGAGGATTTTATTCTCGAGAAAAGTAAAATCCGCAAGAAATGAAATCCTCGTTAATATTCAGAATTGGGCTAATTCTAATGGCGTAGACCTCAGCTGGAAAGATGCTAGGGAACGTTCCCAGGGGTACCAAAAGTTTCAGCCTGGGGCCATACACGAACGCTCCAATCCCCTCAGGTGTTTTGGAGCCATCAGGGTACCACTGTATTTTGATCGCCTGTATGTGACTCTCCATAATAGAGGTACACCAGGTCGCCTTGTTGTAGGTGTAGGTCTTGAAATTTCTTTTGTAGACAACCTAAGGTCCACAGTAGAGGAGATAATACCCCCCCTTGCGGGCACCCTTTTGTCGTTTGTATTTGAATGATACTATCACCGATTTCCGTCTCGCCGATCCTGGTCTGCAGTAACCTTGCTATCCATCGCCGGATGGTTAGCTGAACGATATGTTTCTCAAGGGCTCTGTGGACTCCCAAATGGCAGGCGTTATCGAAGGCCCCCTCAATATCGAGGAAGACACACATCACCACCTCATCTCACTCAAAGGCCCCTTGTATTTCGTCCGTTAAGGCATACAGCGCAGTGTTCGTGTACGCGTGCTGGTTGGAATGCAGAGGGGTTTATTTCCGAGTGTTAAACCTGATTTCATGGTCAATAATTTTCTCCATTGCCTTTATCATAAAGGATGTGAGACTTATCGGCCTGAATGACTTGGTCAGAGAGTAATCTCTATTGCCTGCCTTCGGGATTAAGATAACCCTGGCCCTCTGCCACAACTTGGGAATGTGGGCCAGTGCTAGACTGTCCCTCATAATAACCACAAGATGTGGAAGTAAAAGCTCCCCGCCCTGCTTCAGCAACACGACATATACCATCCACCCCAGGGGCCTTGTACCGTTCGAAGGAGTCCAAAGCCCACCGCACTATTGACCGGTTTATAAGGCTTTTAGCTAGCTTCCAGTCCGGTGGGGATGGCCTGAACACACGGAACATCGTATCCCTGGGGGTGGGAATGGCGTCCGGAAAGTGCAGGTGCTGCAGGAGTGGATGCGATGTTCCTACAAAAGGTCCTGAAGCTGCTACGCTTGGCCTTTCTATTCTCCTTATTGTATTTTGTCAGACTGACTGAGTATTCCTTACAGTTCCCGGTGCGCTTTGCCCTATTGAAAGTCTGCGCACCTCCTTCCTAAGAAGCGAGAGTTCCCGTGACCACCAGGGAGGCTGAGCCTTCCCCTTAGGTTTTGACACGGGACATCTGGGCGTAAAGGCATCCAAAATAGTTCAGTTCAGTAGTTCAGCCTATTAACCCTGTCCTCTAACGCCATACAATCTACCTTTCATTGTTGTGCCTCTATCCTGGTTAGGTTCAGTCTAAGTACCTCTTCATATTTGGCCCATTCTGTTTTCCTGGGGTTTCTCTTGGGGTAACCTGTCTGACAATCAACTCCCAGTGCAAACCGGATAATAATGTGATGCGGCAGTCAAGGCTCAGATGAGACCTGCCACTGAGCGATCAGAGGACTGGCCAGTCTGTTGCTGAGAGCGATGTCGAGAACTTTCTCTCTGACCCTAGTAATGAACGTTGGTTCATTACCGACATTGTGAATGCTCAGGTCTTCGCTAATAATATATAGGCACTCACCCCTCCATCTCCTTGCCATCAACTTTCACGGTGGTCTGAACCGCTACCAGATCCTGTGTAAGAAACTCTGTAATGCAAAAATAATTAATATTATTCTTCAACACTACACACGCTCTGGGCCTATCGCAGGAGAGGTCCCAAATTACCTTATTGTTATTGTGGTTGAGGCCCCTCACCTGGTCCCTGTAGGTCCACGGTTCCTGTATTAGGAGTATTCCCGGGTACTCCGTGGCAAACCTGCTTGCAATGGCCGCCGAGGCGGCCACCGCGTGATGCCGGTTGACCTGGGCTACTTGTACTGCTGGTGACTTCATAATTGGGGCTCGTCGTCGATATCCGAGAACCGCGCGTCGCCCTCGCCTCCTCTATCGAATTCGAGCCTGCCAATGTCCGGTAGAAGCTCCTGTGGGGTGCACACGTTGTCGGGGGCACTTGTCCCGGAACTCACAGGAGCTGGTGCCTGTGCCGGTTCTGTTAGATGGTTGGCTGGTACCTGTGCCGGTTCTGTCAGCTGGTTGGCTGGTAGGGCCGTGTTCGACTCGGTCGCTGGGGCAGCAGGGGAGTCAGTCAACACACATGTCTTGCGACTCTGACTCCTTGCTGCCTGTTGTCTTTTGCCACCACGACCTCACCGTGATGTAGCTGTACCGGAAGTTGACGTTAAATCCGGCCATCTTAATGCTGATTTACGACGCCTCGTCGATGCCCAGGTTACGCCTGAGACCGTTGTCTTCAGCGCCGCACGATACCACCTTCCACGCAGCCGTATGGACACCCTCGTTCTGGGCCTGGATGAGCCCCAGCACATACTCAGCCGATTTCTCGACACATCTTGGGAGGAACACCGAGATTATATGCACCGGCGGGATGCCTCCCCCTTTTGGTGGATAGCACGGGTCCCTTCCACCCCTCAATAACCGGTGCCTTCCACAAGGAGCATGCCTGACCTGAAATAAACCCCACAGAACACCAGTGGGTGCTTCCACCCTTTTAGGACCTTATCCATAATAGCATCCTGGAGTACGGTTGGGTCCTCAGGGCATATGGAAGCTGTAGGGTAATCACAGGGCAACACAGCCACCTGGATGCCTTTAAGAGCATCAGAATAGCTGTGCTGCTGAGTGGTTCCCTTCTGTTGCCGACCCTGGCCTCTGTTGCTGTTACCCGCTTCTCTGCTTTTCAGCAGGTGCGGGTAGTTCACTCTGCTGCTTACCACCGGTTGCAGCTCTGTTGCCCCTGCGCTTGCGCCCTTCGCGCTCACGTTCCTCTCGATCCACCTCTTGCCGTACTTCCGCCATATCGCGGGCTTCATTCGCCGATTTCCGGAGCGACGCCGACGCTCAGTTCGATGCCTGCTTGCAGAGCGATGCCTGTTCTTTGGGAGTAATGCTTCTGCTCCCGTAAGGCCCTCCGAACGATGCTGCGCCCGATCCACGCCGCCACTGCTAGTGCTTGGCTTCTCTTCTCTGGCGTGTTCTATGAAGAGGGCAGCCTCTTCCTCGGTTAGGCTCTCTTAGGCACCTGCGCCTGGTGCATGCCAGCATGTTACTGCCGTGCGTGGCCGTTGCTGTTTTTTGTGTCGTTGTTGCTATTTTCGCATCAGTTGCTGCTGTAGTTGCTGTTGACGCTGTTGCTGCTGGGTTAGCGATAGTTGCAGTTGTGGCTTGTTTTCGCGTTTGCTTTTATGTTTTGGTTGTTGTTGTTTTTCTTGCTTTTGTTTAGTTGTTTAGGAGAGCTCAGCAGTCTAATTAATGGAAGAGGATCTCATCTGGTCCGCCGCGCCAGCGCCCCATGTCGCGGTAAGGCCACCGATACTCCTCGATGCGGCCCGGTGGCGAAGAGGCGCCGTTATAATACAGCCGGTTTATACCCTCCTGGCTGCAAACCGTCCAATAGGCACGGTGTCGCATCACACCCTGGATCAGGAGGTGGCAGATCTTGGTCACCGTTCGCCGGCAGCCCTAATCTGGAGATAAGGCAGCGCAGAAGCGGCGAGCGGACTGGTCGGCGATTCAGCTAAGCCCCCGCACCAACGACAAGGTGCCTGCCCTAGCGGGGGGTTCTTATACATGCTACAATTGAATTAGCTACAAAACTGCACACCCGAAAATAAATATTCTAATTAAAAATTTTTAAATTTTGATGAAAATTTTTTAAAATTTGATTAATTTTTTGCAATTTGTGCAAGCTTTTAAACTTTTATTATTGTGGTTTCTGTTATGGATTGAATTATATTTTAAATTAAAATTATTTAAAATAAATAAATGAACACAATTTGCAAACAATATCATTTTGAATTTCGTTGCTAATTATTTGATCGCATCTGTTTGTACAGGAAAGGAAAGCTTAACGTCGAAAAGCTGCAATCACAACAGACAGCCAGCTCTTTCGCTACTCGACTCTCACACCTGCTCTCAGAGAGCACTCTTCAACAAACCGACATATGCGAGCAGTGGAACCACATTTCCCGCTCATTAAGTACCGCCGCCGAAGAAGTAGTCGGATTTCAGCGAGCCCGAAAGAACAACTGGTACGATGAGGAGCGTCAGCGAGCTGCAGAGAAAAAAGATGCCGCCTACAAAACCACGCTGCGATCGGGCGCAACGCGCGCTATGTGGGACCGCTATAGGGATCTGAAGAGGGAAGCGAGACGTATTTGCCGCAACAAGAAGAGAGAGGCAGAAATACGTGAGTGCGAAGAGCTTGAAATGCTGGCCGACAGGAAGAATGCCCGAAAATTTTACCAGAGAGTTAGGCGACTTACGGAAGGTTTCAAGACCAATAATGGCGACCTAGTAACTGATGTCAGAGCGTACTTAAATTATGGAGGGAACACTTTTCCGCTCTACTAAATGGTATCAGCACGGAAAGTAGTGGAGAAGAAGAACCCGAGCCCGCACTCGATGAAGACGGAGTCGACGTTCCACCGCCTGACTTTCACGAGGTACAAATAGCAATAACGCGGCTCAAAAACAACAAAGATGCTGGAGCTGACAGCCTGCCAGCTGAGCTATTCAAGTACGGTGGCGAGGAGTTGATAAGGTGCATGATCAACTCTTGTGCAGAATATGGTCAGATGAACGCATGCCCGACGACTGGAATTTAAGTGTGCTCTGCCCAATCCACAAGAAAGGTGACCCCGCCATTCGCCCCGACTACCGCGGGATCAGCTTTCTAAGCATAGGTTACAAGGTCTTATCGAGCGTATTGTGTGAAAGACTGAAGCCCACCGTCAATGAACTGATTAGGCCTTATCAGTGTGGCTTTAGACCTGGCAAATCCACCATAGACCAGGTATTCACAATACGCCAAATCTTGGAAAAGACCCGCGAGAAAAGGATCGCAACTCACCACCTATTTGTCGACTTTAAAGCCGCTTTTGACAGCACTAAAAGGAGTTGCCTATACGTCGCTATGTCTGAATTTGGCATCCCCTCAAAACTCATACGGCTGTGTAAAATGACGTTGACCAATACCACCAGCCCCGTCAGAATTGGGAAAGACCTCTCCGAGCCGTTCACACTCGCTTTCATGTGACTTCTTAAACCAGATGTTGGAGAAGATAATAAGAGCTGCAGAACTGAACCGCTCAGGAACAATTTACTACAAGAGCGTGCAATTGCTGGCTTATGCCGACGACATCGACATCATCGGTAATAAAAACCGCTCAGTCTGTTCTGCCTTTTCCAAGTTGTATAGGGAAGCAAAGCGAATGGACGAAGTATCTCCTGTCATCAAACAAACAGTCAGCACATTCGCGCCTTGGCACCCACGTCACTGTTGACAGTTACAATTTCGAGAAAGTAGAGAATTTCGTTTAATTGTGAACTAGCATTAACATCGATAATAATGTCAGCATTGAAATCCAACGCAGAATCACTCTAACCAACAAGTGCTACTTTGGACTGAGTAGGCAATTCAGGAGTCAAGTCCTCTCTCGACGTACGAAAACCACGCTCTATAAGTCACTCATCATGCCCGTGCTGGTATATGGCGGAGAAGCATGGACAATGACAACATCCGATGAGGCGGCTCTTGGAGTGTTTGAGAGAAAAATTTTGCGGAAGATTTACGGTCCTTTACGCATTGGCGACGGCGAGTACCGCAGACGATGGAACGATGAGCTGTATGAACTTTACAACGATATGGACATAGTGCAGCGAATTAAAAACAGCGGCTCCGCTGGCTTGGCCATTTCGTTCGAATGGACACCGACGCTCCAGCTCTGAAAGTATTCAACTCGGAACCCGCTGGTGGTAGCAGAGGAAGAGGGAGGCCCCCACTGCGATGGAAAGATCAGGTGGAGAAGGACCTGACTTCACTTGGCGTTTCCAATTGGCGTCAGTTGGCACATAGGAGAAACAACTGGCCTGCTTTGCTGAACTCGGCCAAAATCGCTTAGGCGGTTACAGCGCTAAAAAAGAAGAAATAAGAAGAAGATCTGTATGTACATATGAAAAGGTGTGTCTCTTTGAAAGTCCTAGATTTGCTTGTGAGGAGGGGTAAATCAAAGTTGCTGAACTCTGTTTATTACTTTTTCAAACCCTCTAGTAGGCAGAACCGCCTCCAGACGGTCGTTAACTAAACACCTTTTTAGTGCACCTATAATAATTTTTTTCTTTATTCGTAAGGCACGATCTTTAGACAAAAATCCTACCCTTACGGCGAAGTAAATTTTAATCCGTTATGTCAATCCATTTTATTTTAATTGGCAGTTGAATTACAGATTTTGAAAACACGGTTAAAATTAATTATTTCTTGCTATTTAGTAATTTCGTAATTAAATAAATTTTTTCTTTTGAAAAATTTTTTGATATAAAAAAATTCGGTAGATTTCGTTGTTAAAAGCACCGTATTTTAATATAAGTTTTATAATTATGTCACCATTCGAAATGGAGAAAATTGCTTTCGAACACAGACCGTCTACAGACCGGCTTGCCGACATTAAAAACCCCAGTTTTGCATTTTTGACCGTCTGCAGACGGCATTGCCGCTTCGTAGGTCAACATTGTGTAAGAGAAAGCTGAAAATATGAGTAAGTACATCGGCGAGCCCGTCTCCAGACGGTCTTGGGTTTTCTCCCCTGTAGGAAAAAGTTACTGTCACAGATCGAAATGGACATCAGTTTTGGATTTCTCGTGCTAAAATCACCCATTCCGGAATTTTTCAACTCATAAAAAAATTGGCCTACTAGAGGGTTAAAATGCGTTTTATCCAAAGAAACTTCGTTATTTGAATTTATGCTTATGTGCCTTTTATTTAGAAATATATGTGGTGCGCAAAAAAAAATATCGATATTTTCGATATTATTTTACTAAATATATCGGTATCTGATATTGTGAATTTAAAATATCGCGACACCGATGTATCAAATCTTCATTGGCGATACGCATCCCTACTATTTTCCCAGTGGGTTCTTACACGATATGTTTTTGCATCTGTAAATGTGACTTTTTCAATACATACACTGGAGAAACAAGGCAATTTCTTTTTATTGCTTATTTTTTAAATATTTATATGAGCCGTTAACTAAAAACGCATTAGGAATTAAAAACTGAGGAAACCAAAATCTACATAAATAACTTAAAGAAGTATTATTCATTTCTAGTATGCTACTTGGAAAATATAATAGGAACAAACAAATAATGCAGAATAACATTCACCTTTTTTTACAGGAAAAAAACTATCGCCAAAAATTATTAGTATTTGGTACTTCCACCCTTATATTTTATTACTTCCAAGCATCTTCTGTGCGTAGAATTGACGAGTTTAGCACAAGTTTCAGGTGATATAGAATACCTCTCTCTTAATTTTTTCCCAAAGTTCTTGCTTGTTTCGCGCTCTCTGTCCGCCAATTTTTCTTTTTAGTATTCCTGACTGTAAGGCCACTCCAAAACCGTAACCCTATTATGACTCATCCACGCCTTTACAAGCGCTGATGAATGTTTGGGGTCACTTTATAGGCATCTCCTCTCTAGCAAAAGTAAGCCTGGCTGTATTTCGAAATCCATCAAACGTTGTTCGATCCTAGCTACACCTTCTTCGCACCCTTCTGCTCAGGGCTGGCATAGAGTCAAACCCAGGGCCAGAAATTGTTATGTTGCTGGCTGTTAGGATAAGATACTGTGGCATACAGGCATGCTAGCAAGCCCAGGCTAAGCTCGTCGGTGGGTAGGGTTTTTTCTCCACAGATCTTACCGTCAGCATACATAAGCAAATAAACTCATGCCTGTGTAAGTGAACATAAGCAGAATTAGGGATGTGGTTTAAGCTAAGTGAAAAGACGAAGAGAAAGTAGAAGAACCGTCCTGTCAGGGCGGAATCAGCCCTCCCCATCTACTTAACTGCGAAGTAGCCATGGACTTCACCTCGACTCCATACCTTCGTGAAGCCCCCATAGCCCGACTTTTGTCCGTCTGGTCTAGTGTCCTGTCATGTCCAAGTTAGTCTCCCATTGTCTTTCCCTGTACCCACTTCCCCTCTTATGGCACAAGTGCAACACACACACCAAGCTGAAAAAAACGAGACTTAGCCGTTCATTATCTCCAAATTACTTAACACGAAATGTTCACTGCATGCTTCCTAATGCACAATATTTATTTAACAATCGTTTTTGCACCTCATAATCTACCTATACCATTAAGCGATCATAAATGCAATAAAAAAAAAAACGGTATTTCAAAAAAGGTATCTTAATTTACTAGTAATATAACAATAAAAAAAGATATAAACCAAGTGGATTCAAATGTATTATTAAGGATGCTATCTTAATGGTATTGCCTCTACTGTGCTTAATCTACCAAAACAACCCAAGTATGTACTCAGAAGCACATATTGGCGTGCAGTACATAAACGTATGTATAAATGTCTATATTTACGTATATGATGCAATGAAAATAATAAGCAAAATTGGAATTACAACTCACCACACTCTCCTCTGATGAAGGCGCCAGCATCCGTAGGAAAGGTCGCTGAAAAATTGTTGTAAAAAAAAAACGAGTTTGTCAACTCATCATACATACATACACATCATATTCCAATGCACAGCCTCAATGAAATGAGAACATTGCCTGCTTTGCATTTGGACATACTACTGCCTACCGTACGCTACACTAGCTGCTGATAATTCGAAATATATATATCCGCGGAATTAAATGTTTTTTTTTTCAAGAATTCGGCAAAGGCGGCTTATATAATAAATTGAAGGACGAGAGGTAAAATTGGCGGAATTGGATTACTCAAAAAAACTCCATGTCCCCGACGCGTGGTAAGCCAACAAAATCGATACAAAAAAAACCTAACCTCAAAATGTAGTTGCCACTAACGTCTACTTTTATGCGAAAGCTTATAAAAAAAAACAAAATAGTAACTATTCCAAACTTATAAATACCTACATATGAAAAAGAAATGCAAGGTAATAAAGAAATCCATATACTTAATATTACTACAAACTCATTAAATTTCGTGCAAAAATCTACTAAAACAAAGCAAACTCCAAATATAAGCAAAATTTCAGCAAAAAAGGTAAAATAAATCAAAAACAAAAAAAGCTCAGAAGCAAGCAAAAGAAAATTCTCTCCCGGTAGAAGAAACTTTAGACTATATATATATATGTAGTTAACGCAAAAAAACCCAAAAGTAGCAAATATAAAAAAACCAAAGAAAAGCAGAGAGCCCGCGAGCGCAGCGCGATCTATGCCAAAAACCTTTGGAAGCTCTCGTTTGGTATTTCCAACGCTCCAGTTGCGGGTCACTATGTATATCTGCGTGGGTGTATCTCCGTTCCCGTCTCTCTTATGTATGTCGCCTTCCTTGTATTTCCCCTTTGTACATATGTGCGTTCTTGACTCCTCTCTCTTTATTTATTGCATCGTCTTTTTGTAAGAAAAATGTAATAGCAGTATTATGTACTCCGGTCGTTGACCTAGTTTTCGCTTTCGTACATAGGCGCTGGCGATTTATTGAAACCCATGCGCGCTGCTGGGTTCATTTAGGGTAAAGCGCTCCAACTCAAAAATGCCAAGTTTTGAGGCCCCAATATTGCCCCTGCCTGGCGAGAACCTGCAAATTTATTTTTTTTGATGCTTTACTATATGCCACATTTAAATTCTTCGTTCATTATTAGCATTTTCTTTTGTTATCATTTATGTTTAATTATTTTTACTTCCATTTATTTCGAGTGTATTTTCATACATACATCCCTAACCAAATCCATAAGTACATACATACATACATTCATACGTGCACACGGGTGGACGGGTGTTTGTTTAGTTGCTATCTTCAACATATTCGATCGTGAGATACATTTGTCGTTTGAACTAACTTGATTTATTCCATTTTTGTTGGAATTTAACATAATCTAACTTCAGTTTAACGTAATTTGTTTTAATTTCTTTTAATTTTATTTTATTTTAATTTCAATTTATTTTAATTCTATTGTAATTTATTTTACTTTAATTTTAATTAATTTTAATTTTATTTTCTCAATCAATTATAATTGAACTCTTTATTTAAGTTAATTTATCTAAAAATTTATGTAGTTAAGGTCAAACTTTCTTTAATCACCCACTTTTCAAGTAACTTTTGCCTCGCTTTCGACAAGTCTTATATACGTATGTATGTATGTATGTACTTTTATGAAAATATATTATTTAAATCGACTTCGATCTTCGTTTAACAGTGCTTTATGTTATATAATGGCCTTCTTTGCCAGTTAGACAACGGGCCATCCAAAATCTGTTATTCGTGTGGACTCACCTCTTTGTGGCAGGTTTCAATCCCAATATATAAGGGTATTTCCTTATGTTGGCAAAAAAATATCTTTCTGTTTTAACGGACACTTCTATCCCCGTTTTTTTCTAAAGCAGCTGTGTATACACCAAACTGTCTTCACTTCTATAAATCATCTACCCGCGACACACTTCTAACTGATTCGAAGTCACTTTCTTTTCTGACATTAGCCTGTCTTTAGCTTAGCGATCGTGCGCCCAATATACCTGCGAAGTGCTAAAATTTCCTTCTCAGCTGAACTTTCACTCAATCCAAAACGCACACCCACGCATTCTTTTGTATCCCGGACATGCACACACATACATTTACATTAACATTCAAACACAAATAATTACGCTCTTATCTAACAGGTTGTGTTGCGACGAAGGAACAAGTGTAAAATTAGGGATGTGAAAGTGCTTGGTGTTGTTTGATGCAACTAGTAGGTGCTGGCGTTGAGCTGACAGGCCAATACAACAGGCTCGCACCCGCCGATGTTGCCTGCAATATGGAGCGATTGCGTAAAAAAAA